GTAGGCCTTCAAGAAGCAAAAATTGAAAAATACATGTCTGGTGATCTACCCGTTAAAAGAAAGAAAATTTACGAGAAATTGGATAAACAATTAAAAGAAGTGGTTCTTAATTATGAACATGTTACTGTACTTAACTATTTAAAAGGCATTGCGTGTAATTTTTCATTTTAAAAAATCTTTTATATGTATATTTTATTTCAAAAATAACCATACCTACGGACTTAAATTGTATGTTGACCTTTGTAAAATAATGACGTTATAATAATATTATATCAATTATTACCGAAGTACGAGTTATTAGTAATTTAATACGAACCCCCCTTTGGCCCATGTAATAAAATAAAAATAATATATTATGAGATATTTTGAATATAGGATATTTGTAGCTGGGATATTTTCAACGTAGGATATTTTTAACGGGGATATTTTTAACGAGGGATATTTTGAACGAGGGATATTTTGATGCATGGGATATTTTGAGGGGGAACCGGTGAAACCTCCATAGGATCACGAGAAGTCTCGTGGGTGAACAAAAATTCGTATCACAAAGAGAAATAAAATATACAATCTCTCACGACGTGGCGTAAAATTCGTGTGTGTAGGTACAACTCAACGGCTCAACTAATGTTTATATTATGTATATAATATATATATATACCTTATGTGCTATATAAGATGTGTGTTTGAGTGTGTCATACGCACAGCAGTTGTGACACACACGCTCGTGTTTAGGGGGCTTAAAAACGTGTAGTTTTTGGCTCGTTCGTGTGTCCTTTGAACAATTACCGCTTTAATGTGCCGCCGACGTTAATTTGTTTGGCAGGTGAATAAGCGTCGACTGCCGGCGCGAATGGCGTATTATATGTACGCCCCGGCTTAACGTAAATGAGTTTTCCGAACGACCGAGTGTGAAAAATGGCGACAGTCGACGAACGTTTGTTTTTGCCGTAAAGCGCGAAAATAGACTGCTGGCGGGAGCGCGTAGTGCGGCGATGATATATTGTTATAAAAGTGTCTGGGAGGTCGGTACGACCAATATATACCGCGGTATAACGCTACATACCCATAACATTATTGCAGTATATTAGAACACGTGACACGTCCCATGGATAATAATATAATAGTAGGTAATAATTGTAATAAAATAAAGAGCTGCGATGAAACGATTCTATGATAATTTGTGTAAATGTCACTGTAGTATAAAATTAATAATTCGTCGGAGCCTGGTTGGCCTCAGTCGCTGACGTGGTTCTCAGGTCAAGCTTCGGCCGGCGTTCCCGGATGGGTGACCACCCTCGTTTTTTTGAGTGACGAATCCTCGCCCCACACTGCACACACATGTTCCTCGACTAACCGTAACATAATCTACACGAAATGCCATAATGGCCTCAGTTGCTGATGCTTCCAGATCAATAAAAATAAATAAATATCGTATGCTTACCTCAATATATAGTGCGCCTCGATCTATTTTAATTTAATTATATCATAATATATTCTACAATTGTACATTTGTACATAACTCAGCTGCTGCTGTGGACCACGATATGGTGGTCTTAAAAAATAAACTCATATAATATGACAATCCTCCTGAACGGCCGCCACGAATAGCATCATAATATATTATTATATGTATTGTACGTAGCCGCCAAATATACAATATAGGTATTTATGTTGTCGGATATATTGCATTATATTTATTTGCGTTATATTGGAAATATTAACAAGTCTTAATTGACATTTTCGAGAAAATATTTAACGATGCGCTACTTTTCTTGCCACTGCCGAAATTTATAAAAATTATTAAAGCAAGAGATATGCGCACACGGCGAGTGTATACTTCCCTGCAAGTGGCTGCAACTCCAGTAGGTACGACATTACGTCGGATATTAACAATAATATTATTATTAACAGTACGACTTATGATGACCACTGTAATAAAATATTAAATCAGATATTTTATACCGTTATCGAGAAATTATAGTCATTTAAAAAACGTCCGTAGGGTTTTATCGCTGTTCATGGACGTTTTGATTGGCGACGATGCAAAAAGATAAAACGCATTTACACACGCACGCCCCAAGTGTAATATCACTAATCACGTTTATACTGTCACCACCACCGACGTATATTAAGATGAAACTTGTTCAAAATATGAGTTTTTTTTTTTTAAACCTAAACATAATAATATTTTCCACCCTTTATTTTGAACGGCGGGGGGAAGGGGGTGAAGGACCATACTCCAGCGGGCTTTCAATGTAATAATAATTTAAGATTACAAAAAAAACTTTTCCGACATTTCATCGCCGCGTCCTCTTCCCGTCTGTAGACTTACGCGGTCGTGGTTTCATTAAAAGAAAAAAAATACCAAGACGGTTTTACGTGACCAAAATATTATTAACATAAGGGATAAAACTTCCGGTTTTTTTTTTTGTTCCGGTCCTGCGGTCGAAGCAATAACTTTTTTCGAACAACCGCCACAGACAAACAAACAACTGAAATTCGAGGTTTAATTATTACAATAACATCCCCCGAGTAGTTTTTTTTTTATTTCGTTTTACTCAATTATCGCTAACCTCTGTTGATTATTCCGTTGGAGAAAAAAAACTACCCTCGCGTATAGTCATTATGTTATAATAATTATATCGATGCGTACATCTGAATATTTGTATTAATTGTTACGGTAGATAACTGCAATATCGGGGGGACGGAGTGGCCGAGCGGACTAAGGTCAGGTTCGATACCTCGGCCATGGGTGGCATTTTTCTTCGGGCAAGTCACGGTGTCCGGGCATGGCTAATACCTATACGGATGCCCAAATCAAAAATTCTGCCAAACAAACACACAAGTGTTCCTCCCCCTACCAACAAAAACTAAAAATAGCTAAATGGCCTTAGTTGCCGGGCTCAAGATCGATAAAAAAAAAAATAAAATATATAATATTATTATTGTTCCGAAATTTAAAATTATATATTATAATAATAATATGAATTATTACGACTACACAACAGTGGCCCGTGTTTTCGTTTACGCGATTAGGATTAAATGGGTTTAATAATATATTGTTATAGACCATATTATTATGTGCGCACGCCGGAGGGTAGTGCGAAGGTTTTACACAAAATATTGTAAATACTTACGTGCTGTATATACATAATTACCGTGTTATGTATTGTTATTATTATGTGATATCGTAATATTTTAATTATTAAGTATGCCCCCATTACCCACGTAAGGAGGTTGTTATTAACTCTTTGTTAAAGTGTATGCATCGTGTGCGTTTAACGATATAATATCATTATAATGTTATGGTAACAATATGTTTATAATCGTATCGACGAGATACGAACTCGTATTTATAATGGAGATAGACGTATTGGGCACCACAAAAAAAAAAAAAAAAATTAAATACCAACCGAAATCTACACACACATAGATATAATATTATACGTCAAAGATGTCCCAAGGACATCTTATGCGCAGAGAAGAACGTGCAATGTGTGAAACCTGTGGAGAACCTCTCACAGTCAAGCACCTCCTTATCCATGAATGTCGTAACCATATAGATAACAGGAAAATACTTGAAATGCCCGACAACGTCTTCGAATCCCTCGACCAACACCAACAAAATAATCGCATTTCTTAAACAAATTGATATGTATGACCTTATTTTAAGGATCTAGTATATTGATTATGTGTAGGTAACAAAAAAAACTAATTTATATGTAAAACTAATTTAAGAAACTATTATTGTACCATTAATTATATGTAACTAAATGCCTCGTTTTTTGTTGCAAGCCAATCCTTGGCAGTTGAAGGTGTACCATGAATAAAAAATAAATAAATATTATATGATATATTGTTAATGCCCACAAATCGTTCAGCGAAGAACGGCTGATCCGGATGCGAAGATTGTTTGTTTAAAACGTAACGGAACTATTAAGATGTATACGTTTTTTTTTTTAAATTTTGTTTTTTATTTTATCCTTTTTTTTAATTATTATTATAAATAATAAATTAAATATTAATTTTACATAGCATGGTTTAATATCGACGTATAATATATAGTATATTATTATAATATTATATATTAATTATATGATAATAATTTAATAACGAGTATACCTTATTTGTGTATAATATATAATATTTTAGAGCAACTATATTATAATATTATAATAATATATAAATGTAATGAAATTTACAACACCATATTATATCATTTCGTAACACGATGGAATATGTTTAATGTATATAATATCTATATAAATGTCTACCATTTTCTAGAAAAAAAAAAACAATACAAATATATATTATATTATAATAATTGTATAACCACGAAACGCATTTATTATGCGGCACAAAATAGGGATATAATCAAATTGGTCCTAAAATATAATAGTAATATTACGAGTTATATTATTATTCAAAAGGTATTACGTACGATTAATAAAATTAGGCCAAAATTTAAAATTTGATTTTATAAAATTATGGTGTTTTAATGATAAGTTTTTTTGGGGGGGCTTGGGAAGAGGGTTAGGTTTATTAATTATTATATGATAATTATATATATATATATTTATATATATTATATTATTCGAACGTAATATTCCTATGTCTAGACCCTAGTAATATGTTAATAATAATAACATTAAAAATAATAATGATATATTATAAATGGTATAATCACTAATTATCTTTATAATTTATATATAAATATATATATATATTATATATATATAAACGTTACGTATATTAATAATATAATAATTAAAGGAATGAAAAAAAAAAAAAATTTAGAAACGTAAACGGAAAACGAAAATAGAATAATAATGATAATAATATTATCTACAAAATAGTATTATAATAATAATAATAATAATAATGATAATAATAATAATATGTTTGGTCTGAGATGTCATAAATTATGAATGATATGACGACGGGCGGGCGTTACCCTCGTCATCTCGTCTCGTCTCGGTGACGGCGTCGGTGGTCGAAATTCATGAATCTCTGACGAACACGAACTCGTTGTAATGATTCCAGCGGCATTCCTCCGAGTCCACGCCCGGCTTGAGCTCGGCGGCGGACGTGCCGCCGGCCGTGCCCGATCCACAACTTCCGGCCATGTAGAACCCTTGTTCCTGGAGCATGTCGAACGCCTGTTCGATAGACGTGTGTTTCAGAAAGAACCTGCGCAAAAATATTACACAGCACAGTTAGTGTCAATGGTTCATATAGGTCAATATAGGTATTGATCATAATAATTATATATTATTATTGTTATTGTCGTTTGTGTATGGCGACCAGTCGAAAAAAAAACGTTTTCCAAAATGCATTTTATCCAGACTGTTTGTTGACCAAAAACAAAATATCAATTTTTTTTTTTTTTTATTAATTAACCCGCGGCAACTTAGGCCATTGGTTGGTGTTTTCAACTGTGAGGGAGGGTACTGTAGGATTTTGTAAACATATGTGTTTTGGTTTGGCAGAATTTCAAATTGGGCACCCGTAGGTTTCTGCCATGCCCGGTCGTCTCTCTCTTCTCTTTCTTGTTCTCGGTCTCTCTCTTCAAACAGATGTCTGCCCGGAGAGAAGTGCCGCCCGTGACCGATATTCGAACCGGCGACGGTGCGCGTCGCAACCGACGCCTTAGTCCGCTCGGCCACTCCGTTCCCCAATTTCAATATTATTTACGCGTCGTAATAAGTACCTCTATATTTTAATTATAATGTTTTTAGTGAGAGTTATTATATTATTAAAGTTCGACAGCAGCCACAGGATAATAATACACGGGAAGACTTATAATAATTGGGTACAACATGTATTGTTTTATATTATTTTCCACACACGTCCGACTTTTATTTCTGACTACAATAATTGAAATTCGACCAAGATAAACAACCCATCATATAGGCTACATACGCCCAATACGAGTCTACCGTCGCTCGTTGCTGCCGCACATAGGTAAAGCTGCAAAGAGTAACTTTAATATTTGTTTTCTCAGTCGATTTTTTTGTGTTTTTGAACTACACCAACAAGAATTAATCTATTCATATTAATATACTTTAAAAGTTGAATTACCAACTTATACTATGTTATTTCCATTGCAGCACTCTCCTATTATATTTAACTAGGTAGACTTTAAATAAAAATAAATAAAAATACATATTTTAGGTTCATTATTCAATGTTTGTACATATGTCGACTTTAGCGAGAAAAATATATAGCTGCCTCGGAATTTGAAATTATAAAAAAAAAAATGTTTCGTTTGCGAAAATCTATACAGTATTAGTATTACTAGCACGCCGAACAAAACAAATTCAATAGAATTTACGACGCTAAAACCGCAACAAAATATGTATCTAGTAACTACTATGGTATTTCGTGCTTAAAAAAACCACCTCCTACGCTATTATAATATATATGCTTATAAAATAAAATTATCCTTGCGATTAGTGCTCTCGGTTACGTGTCCAGAATACTCTTGTGATGCGATACAGTATGACTATAAAAATAAAATAAAAATAATATAGCTTAATAGCCGAACAACTTGTGTAAAGCCAAACAACGGTATAAAATATCCAGAGTAATCGTCGCTCCTGCAGATGAGCTCGAGAAAAACACTGTCACGTACCTATACTGCACAGTACGCAAACTATAGATTTAAAATCCCTCTACATCCCGTCACGTTTAGGTATAAGGTATATTATATACATTTTATACCGCATTTTGGCAAAATAATAAATGTTGGTCTCGCTATAAAAATACACACATAATCATTACCGACATAATATTATTATTGTCTCTGACCGCCGAGACATATTCCAAATACACATTGGTACACGTATATATACGCAATAGCTGCTCGATAATAATAATTATTACGGTACCTATACATTCTAACCCGCAGCTATTATCCGAAGTATAGGTACTCGAGTTGGATTAGATTACAGCCTGCGATATTGGACTTATATATACCTATAGGTACCCAATATTATTATATTCGATCCGTGCGGTCAATGCACGTGCACGCTCCTCGTACGGTTGTAAAGGCTAAAGTCGTTGCTAAAAACGGCAGCCGCGACCGTTTTCACCGAGTGTTTTGAGGGGTTCTTTTTTTCTCCGCAGTTTATCTATTTGTAGACGACTTTTTCCTGTGTGTTTTCCACCAATCGAGTAAGTGCGTCACACGACACAGGATCGATTGGTAATGACTAATGCGCATCATGAACTATGGATAATATAATGATATTATATAGTTCATGGTAACGAGATTGCATATATCTCGCGATAATGTCACAAGAACTTATGATATGCGATTGTGTATAGTAGTGTTGAGGAGGAGGGCGCTTTAAAAAACATAATATATGGTGCCCAGGTGATAGTCACCCATACAACAGACACATACTCGCGTGGCATAAATGGGGTCTTTGGACGAGAACTGATTTTGGTGGTATAAACTGGTAACCAATGCGGATAATAAAGAAATGGTTTTATCATAGGCCCAAAAATTGTGACTCTGAGTGATGAGAAACCGAGTGAAATATATTTCCCTAATATAAACTCAAATTTTACCATGGTTAAAACGAAAAATCATAATATTTTATAATATTAAAATAACTGTATTTGGTATATCGTTCACCATTTAAATCAGTTTATTGACAAAACATACCGACTGCACAGATATAAACCAACACGATAACAATACAATGTATATTAATAACTAATAATAATAAATTAAAATCTAATGGTGTTAACGTCATATGCATTGCAGTTTAGGTCACTCACCGACATCTGCTTCAAACATATACGTTTATGTAGATATGTACTCTCTAATAAACACCAGCCGACAGCTGCTGTTAAGAGACGAATAGAATTAGCGGAAGTTTATTATACAACCAAAGGATATTATTCGTATGATATAAACACCGAAATCGGTGTATGCTGCAGGATCTTCAAAATGGAGGGAATTATGATGGTTCTTCAGCGATCCCTTGCAACACTTTAGTCACCCAAAACTTGAAATAGAGAGATACAGTGATATAGATATTCTATAAATCAGTATATTATACTGTATGGTTCAACACATAAGTATGTATCGTACATCATTGTACCATAACCGTGAACGAGCAAACATTAAGCTAAACATATTTATTTTCCTTAAAACGCTTTTATCAAATTTACCGTACATTGGTCGGGGTAAAAGTCGCACAGCGATAATATATGACCATATTATGCACACAGTCATCGTTCTACAAATAATTGTGATATTATATCCTTATTGCATGAGAACACACGGAAGAGGAATCGAACTCGAGGTAACCACGGGTATACACTGCCATATAATAATAATAATAATAATAATAATATATCGAGCTGAACTGTTTAGAGTGCAACAATAACGACGGTGACGGCAACGGTATAGCAATGCCGAAGACACAGTCTGGTAAAGGCTTATAGTACAATTAGCGTACACAACCCTTTCCCGTTGTTTAGATAGACAATCGCTCGAACGAGAACAATGGTGGATATTTGCGAACAAAGGGAACACTTTACGGACATTTTTAGGCTCATTAAGGACGCGCGTATCCGCAAAGGGAGCTTTTACAGAGTCAAAAATAACAGAATAATGGCGAAACAAAACATTCGGACGAAAACAAACTTTTTTTAAATAACAATTGCCATTCGTTTTCTAGATAATTTCGTCGTACATTTTCGAACAGAATAATATTATACAACAAAGCAGTAGTGAAAACAATTGGGAAAACTAATTATGCATATTTTCTCGAATTGGTTTATGTAGATTTGATTCAACCTACTTTAAATTTGATGAATTCGAATTTTTTTCAGTACCTAACCATTAACCTTAATTTGATTTAATAGTCCACCAATAGGAATAGAGAGCTGCCTATACCCATAAATACGTTTTTATTTTCAACTACCAATCTATTATCATGCACATATTATATTATATACGAAAACTCAATCATAATTTAACGGGATACGTCGCTATATATATTATTCATATGGCATTCGACAATACAGTTGCTTCTATATTAACGAGAAATAATAATGTTTTGTATGATTTAATTTTGCATTTCATTGGTTATTGGTATATTTCGGTCTAGTAAATCCACGCATTTAATCGATTTAGACGTACAAAATATAATATTGAAATATTTAAGCCATAATATAACCTAAGTAGTTATTATGCTATACATGCACATGAGAAATTAATTTCTGATAAATTAATTCAAATATTGTATATTATAATATAGGTATAAGGTTATTCGTTTAGGTTGTATTATACTACAAAAGAATACGTCATATTGTATAATATGATAATCGATTTATGGTTTCGGGAGGAGTATATTGCGCCTACCTATTATACGGCTAAGCAGGCCAAGTATTGTATAATATAGCTGATTTTCTGAATTAATATTAAAAGTAGATGCTTCCTCATATTACACACACAATAATATATGTTTTTTTAAAGCGAAATACGAAAAACGAATTCCTACGGCTGTTAGGTAGAGATATATTTATAATATATAATGCTTTTGCTGTAGCCTATATTATATAAGTATATAATATATATTTATGTTTCCTGTACTTCCGGTTATTAGAACATGTATTTAACGTCACTGCTCTCCTATTTGGGCGCTGAGGCAGGTTATTAATAGGTGAATGCGAACATATACGTTTTGAAAAGTACGTGGGCGTAAATGTGCATTGAAAACATTTTCATTTATTTTAAAATTATTTTCTATGGACGATAAAACGGATTGACGACCAAATGTAGGTATACCTACCTATTACATTATATACATGAGACACGCAGACATGTGTAATAATAATAATAATAATAAGCAATTATAGATTTAAAAAACTACCCGGACTCATTGTATAGTATATACTCTCATTCGGAATGTGTCGGGAGGAGTAAAATATATTACAAATAACTCCGTGTAATTTCGTAATTATTTTACGCCTTCGTCGTCGTCGTGTATAAGCATCGAGCAGAGAAGAACGGAATTCTATTTCGAATTTAGGGGATGTGCGGCGGATACAACGGTTGCAGGGTTCGACGACGGAGGGGTTGGAGTACAAGAATTTATGGCGTCAAACCCCCGTCATATATATTACATGTATACGTCACAAAGCGTGTTCGCAACATGTATATTTAAGTC